GGCATTCGACCTCGATGACGATCTGCAGTCGCATTTCGTCAAAGGCTACAAGTCCGATCCGACGTACTGAACGCTTTATGCAGAGCTCTCATCGGATCACCCGCTGGCTAGCCACTATCGGATTTCCGACGGGTTCCTTCTCCTTCACACGAGAGGAAAGGACTTGTTAGTTGTGCCCCAAGATCGCATCTTACGGACTCGTCTTCTCGGCGAATTCCACGAYGCACGACTTTCGGCACACCTTGGCGTGAGCCGCACATTAGCACGCCTCCGCCAGCGTTTTTACTGGCCCGACGTCCTTCATGACGTCACGAGGTACGTTGAGTCATGTGCAGTTTGCCACCGTAACAAGGGTCGATCTCGAGTCCCCTTCGGCGAACTGAAACCGTTGCCGATTCCTCGGGCACCVCGCCTCTCCATTGCTATGGACGTGACAGGCCCGTTCCCCCGCGATCGYCAAGGCCATGACGGTATTCTCACGGTCGTTGACCGTTTGAGCAAGTACGCTCGCTTTCTTCCTTGCAAGTATCATGCTGCAGCGCCGGAGCTCGCACGACTCTTGGACATCGGTTGGATTACTAACCAGGGTGTTCCGGAAGAAATAGTGAGCGACCGAGAGTCCGGCACGACAATGAAGCCGAGCTTGGCTCGGCACCCGCAGACGGATGGTCAGACGGAGCGAGCGCACCAGACCGCTCAGATGATGTTGCGTATGCTCATCCGTCCCGACCAAGATTGGGTTGACCGGCTTCCCGACATCGAGTTCGCCTATAACACTTCGGTGCACCCGGCGATCTGCGTCACACCATTCGAGTTACATCATGGTGGAGAGAAAGCACGGATCTTCGCTGATCTCGTTTTGCCACAGGTTGTCGACACATACATCCCTTGCTCTCCCGCTTCCATTCGGAAGTATCAGGACTTGCTGATCAAAGCCCGCGCAAATATGCAAAAGGCTCAGATCCGCATGCAACAGCAGGCTAACCGACGTCGACTTCCATGTCCTTTCCGCGAGGGAGACCTTGTTTGGGTCCTCTCCGAGGAATTTGCGCTCGAGCAGGACGTTTCGAGCAAACTCCTTCCGAAATGGTCCGGACCATGGGAAGTCACTTCTGTCGTTGGAGACGACCCCGCAGGTCCTTCCTTTGTGATCAACATTCCACCGCACCTTACAGTGCATCCGGTCTTCCACGCGTCGAAGCTGGCCATCTACACGCCACCTTCCGCTGACGAGTTTCCTGGACGTCGATCAGAGGATCCGCCTTCTATGGACGGACATCAGGAAGTTGACCGAGTCATCACGCACCGCAAGTATGGCAACAAGCCAAGGCAGTACAAGGTCACATTCAAGCAATGTGCGCCTGACGACACTYGGTGGATCTCTAGTGCAGACTTGCAGACTTCTGCACCCCTGATCTTCGCCAACTATGAGAAGACACGACTTGCCAAGGCAGCAGCTCGTCCCACCCGACCCATCGCGGTATCAGACAGACAGCTCCGCCCTCGCAAGTAGCTCGGTTTAAGAGGGGAAATGTGTTACATCTTCAACGCCACACGGGTCCTACCGGACCCGACTCAGGGCTAGAGGGACACAGTAGGGCCTAAAGGCCCGACCTTGGGGGTACTACAGACCGTAAAGGCCTTACCTTGGACCAGACCCGACGGGCAGGCCCAAACGACATTAACGTTTGGGCMTGGCGGCGCTCTTGAGGCTGCCGCCCGCCGGTTGGGGCTGAACCGTTCATCTTGACGGTTCAGGGCACGGCCAGGCCTCACAGCATTGAGGCCGGCCTCTGCCCCACCGGTACAAAAGTACCGGTCCAGCCTCATTGAGGCTATCGACCCACCGGCATTCTACCGGTGCGGTATGGTACAGCGCGAAACAGCGCTGGCACTATGTTTAGCGCAGGAGCGAGGAGCAGCGCAGCGCAGCAGTAGCGAGCGGAGCAGCAGCAGCGGCGACTGAGTGTATCGGCGGCCATAGCCGCCTGAGGTATCGGGAGTTGGAGGCTTCTCTCCTCCCTCCCATTGCCAGTCCCCTCTCTCTCAATCTCTTCCTCGGCTCCCTCTTCTTCTTCTTCAGACTTCTTCTTCTTCTTCTTCTTCTTCTTCTTCTTCTTCTTCTTCTTCTTCTTCAGACTTCTTCTTCTTCTTCTTCTTCTTCTTCAGACTTCTTCTTCTTCTTCTTCTTCTTCTTCAGACTTCTTCTTCTTCTTCTTCAGATTGGACACTTGATACTAGTTGGACAGGGATCAGTGTTGGACTTYGGTAGTGAGAGGCTGTGGTACTTACCRGGTTTGAGACTTGRAGATTGTTGGGGATGATACTCGGYTGCATCACAGATTGGACACCAGCTACATTAGGACTCTGTATCTCCGACATTGGTGACTTATTGTCCCCGACATTTTGATCTTGTTCGATGACATTTTGGGAGTACCATATCGGTGACCTACTGGTTTCTATCTCGGTGACATCTGGTGCTACCTACCTCCCCACCTCCTTCGTCTCTCCTCCCACCTTCATCTGTGCATGTGTGTACGGGGCTGAGCATCGTCT